ACCCAAGTAGAACAATCTCTGACCATTTCCTCTAGTAAGTCTTCAGTCTTTGACAGTTTTCTATAGCATTACATATAATAATACATTTTATGCAGCCCTTTGGAGAAATCAGAGTTGTATTTGAGACCTTGTAAGTTGACAGCCACTATTCCCCATACACACACTGCAGCCACAGTGAGCATTGCCATCCTAGGCTCAAGTCATCAAACAGATTGATATATTAAGGGGCAGGTGTGTCATAACATAATGTTTTCTAAAAGTCACATTTAGTACAACTACAGTATATTGTTCAACAAATGGCCCCACTTCAGTTGTCTAGTAAGTGAGTTTGGAAGCCTTTGGAAGTCTGTGGCCTATGATAGAAGAAGGACTGTGAAGAAAAGTGCTACGTGTTCATGACATGTTCTTCTTTGGAAACCTTTGGAGATTTGATCCTTGGGTAGGGTGGGAAAATTGACATTTCCATGACTTCTTTGTTTTTGATGATTGTCCAATTATTGAGAAGCTTCCACCAGAGTAGGAAAGAATATATTATGACCATCAGTGACCATTAGTTACCACCATTAGTGGCCATTAGTTATGACCATCAGTGGCCATTAGTTATGACTAGAGATGAGCGAATTATTCAAAAATTCGATTTGGCTGATTCGCCGAATTTGCGGGAGAAAATTTGATTCGATGCGAATTTATTCGCCGCAAATTTAACTTATTAAAAGGGTTTCTAGGCTTCAGAGAGCCTTTATATTAGTGCAGAACACTGTACCTTTAATTTAAATGCCCTTGGAGTGTCTGCTGGGGAAGAGAAATACTGTCAGTCAGTATGACATGCAGATGAGTGCCGTCGATCTTAGAATCACCGCACACTTCACTCATTTGGGCAGTCACGGGGCACGACGAAGAAGAAAGAAGAAGAAGAAGAATGAAAAGAAGAAGATGAAGAAGAATGAAAAGAAGAAAGAAGAAGAAGAATGAAAAGAAGAATGAAAAGAAGAAGAAGAAGAATGAAAAGAAGAAGAAGAAGAATGAAAAGAAGAATGAGAAGAGAAATGAAAAGAAGAATGAGAAGAATGAAAAGAAGAATGAGGAAGAATGAAAGAAGAATGAAAAGAAGAAGAAGAAGAATGAAAAGAAGAATGAGAAGAAGAATGAAAAGAAGAATGAAAAGAAGAATGAGAAGAATGAAAAGAGAATGAAAAAGAAGAAAGAAGAAGAATGAAAAGAAGAATGAAAAGAAGAAGAATGAAAAGAAGAAGAAGAAGAATGAAAAGAAAGAATGAAAAGAAGAAGAAGAAGAATGAAAAGAAGAAGAAGAAAGAAAAAGAAGAATGAAAAGAAGAATGAGAAGAAGAATGAGAAGAATGAAAAGAAGAATGAGAAGAATGAAAAGAAGAATGAAAAGAAAGAAGAAGAAGAATGAAAAAAGAAGAAGAAATTGAAAAGAAGAATGAAAAGAAGAAGAAGGAAGAAGAATGAAAAGAAGAAGAATGAAAAGAAGAAGAATGAAAAGAAGAAGAAGAAGAATGAAAAGAAGAATGAAAAGAAGAATGAAAAGAAGAATGAGAAGAATGAAAAAGAAGAATGAAAAGAAGAATGAGAAGAATGAAAAGAAGAATGAAAAAAGAATGAGAAGAATGAAAAGAAGAATGAAAAGAAGAAGAAGAAGAATGAAAAGAAGAAGAAGAATGAAAAGAAGAAGAATGAAAAGAAGAAGAATGAAAAGAAGAAGAAGAATGAAAAGAAGAATGAAAAGAGAAAAGAAGAATGAAAAAGAAGAATGAAAAGAAGAAGAAGAAGAATGAAAAGAAGAATGAAAAAGAAGAATGAAAAGAAGAAGAAGAAGAAGAATGAAAAGAAGAATGAAAAGAAGAAGAAGAAGAATGAAAAATGAAAAGAAGAAGAATGAAAAGAAGAAGAAGAAGAATGAAAAGAAGAAGTGAAGAATGAAAAGAAGAATGAAAAGAAGAAGAAGAAGAATGAAAAGAAGGAGAAGAAGAATGAAAAGAAGGAAAGAAGAAGAATGGGAGAAAAGAAGAAGAAGAAGAAGAAAGAAGAAGAATGAGAAGAAGAATGAAAAGAAAATTGAGAGAAGAATGAAAAGAAGAATGAAAAGAAGAAGAAGAAGAAGAATGAAAAAAGAAGAATGAGAAGAAGAATGAAAAGAAGAATGAGAAGAAGAAAAGAAGAATGAAAAGAAGAAGAAGAAAGAAGAAGAATGGAAAAGAAGAAGAAGAAGAATGAAAAGAAGAATGAAAAGAAGAAGAAGAAGAATGAAAAGAAGAATGAGAAAGAAGAAGATGAATAAGAAGAAGAAGAATGAAAATGAAAGAAGAATGAAAAGAAGAAGAAGAAGTAGAAAGAAGAAGAAGAAGAATGAAAAGAAGAAGAATGAAAAGAAGAATGAAAAGAGAAGAAAAACAAGAATGAAAAGAAAGAAGAAGAATGAAAAAGAAGGAGAAGTAGATGAAAAGAAGAAGAAGAAGAAGAATGAAAAGAAGAATGAGAAGAGAATGAAAAGAAGAATGAAAAGAAAATGAGAAGAATGAAAAGAAGAATGAAAAGAAGAAGAAGAAGAATGAAAAGAAGAAGAAGAAGAAGAAGAATGAAAAAGAAAATGAGAGAAGAAGAATGAAAAGAAGAATGAGAAGAATGAAAAGAAGAATGAAAAGAAAGAAGAAGAATGAAAAGAGAATGAATGAAAAGAAGAATGAAAAGAAGAAGAAGAATGAAAAGAAGAATGAAAAGAAGAAGAAGAAGAATGAAAGAAGATGAATGAAAAGAAGAAGAAGAATGAAAGAAGAATGAAAAGAAGAAATGAGAAGAATGAAAAGAAGAATGAAAAGAAGAATGAAAAGAAGAATGAAAAGAAGAAGAAGAATGAAAAGAAGAAGAAGAATGAAAGAAGAATGAAAAGAAGAAGAAGAAGAATGAAAAGAAGAAGAAGAAGAAGAATGAAAAGAAGAATGAAAAGAAGAAGAAGAAGAATGAAAAGAAGAAGAAGAAGAATGAAAAGAAGAAGAAGAAGAATGAAAAGAAGCAGAAGAAGAATGAAAAGAAGAATGAAAAGAAGAATGAAGAAGAATGAAAAGAAGAATGAAAAGAGAAGAAGTAGAATGAAAAGAAGAAGTAAGAATGAAAAGAAGAATGAAAAGAAGAAGAAGAAGAAGAAGAAGAGGAATGAAAAGAAGAAGAAGAATGAAAAGAAGAAGAATTAAAGTACCAGCAAAAAGTGTATCTGCAGAGAGCTCCGCTATTTCTGACAGTTCTCTGACAGTTCCTTCACATTTACAGCGGTTGAAACATTGTATCTATTTATTTCCGAGGAATAAAAACATCTGTATCCTAAATGGAAACAAATAGATACAATGTTTCAACCGCTGTAAATGAACTGTCAGAACTGTCAGAAATAGCGGAGCTCTCTGCAGTGACACTTTTGCCGGCTGATCGGGAAAAATTCGATTCGTGCACCCGAAGTTTGCTAAAATTCGGATTCGATGCGAATCGAATTTTTCCTGATATTCGAAACGAATTCCCACTTCGCCAGGTTCGATTCGCTCATCTCTAGTTATGACCATCGGTGGCCATTAGTTATGACCATCAGTGACCAATTAGTTGCAACCATCAGTGGCCATTAGTTACGACCATCAGTGGCCATTAGTTACGACCATCGGTGACCATTAGTTTTACGACCATCGGTGGCCATTAGTTACGACCATCAGTGGCCATTAGTTACGACCATCGGTGGCCATTAGTTTCGACCATCGGTGGCCATTAGTGTTACGACCATGTCAGGAATGGACTTGCCAATAATGGTGGGACTCACCTGCCTTGTGGGCTGCAGTACCAGGGATGGCCAGCGGGTGCTCCCAGCAATCAGAGACTCAACCCTGCAGCCAGCCAAACACCTGAAACTGCTTATGCAGGTGTATTTAAGTGATGGCCAGACCTGCAGGCTTTGCCTTGGTGTGTGTGTGTTTTTCCTGGGCCCTGTATCTTGTTCCTGAATCCCTGTCCCTGTCTCTGTCTGATTCATTGCTGACCCTGCCTGATCCGGACCTCTGCTGACTTCTCCTGCTTTATCCCTGGCTTGTGACCCCGACCATTCTCTGCCTGACCCCCTGTACCTACCTGCCCGATTGTTATTGACCCGGCCTGCCTGACGGACGCTTGCATTGTATGTATTATCTGTGGGTGGTTTGGTTTGGTTCGTTTGCACTGTGTTATGTTTTAGTATTGCACTGCGTTTATGTTTGTTATTGTTAGTCTAAATTATTGTTTAAATTTCTGACATTTTTTATATAGTTATCTGTATGGTAGCCTGCGTTTGCGAGGCGTCAGTCACAGACCTCTGGTCATACCTCTGGAGCCCTGACATTACACCAAGACCATTCCTGACCAGAAGTGGCTGCACAGGGAAGCCATCTTGCTTGTTGCTGGGAAAGATGGATCTTGATGAGGTTGTGTATTTATATCTGCTAGTGTTTGATGACAGAGAATATGCTTATCAGATCTGAGGGAGTATACCCGGGATGAACTGCTAGAATGTATACGGATCGCTCATGTTCTAGTAGATCAGGGCACAGAGTTCTCTGAGGTGCAACCTTTGATTCAGGTTTGTGTAGAGTTGGCTTCATCTGGTACCCCTGAAAGCAGGAATGACTTTTTGCCGCCATTTAGTGCAGCCAGGTAAGTCCCTGGTATGGTTTTTAGAGGATGATGTGGATTGCTTCTTGGAGCATTATGCTGCATGTTCACCACAGGTTATTAAGGGATTGTATATAAACGCAGTGCAGTCAGACAGGCTTTGTGTAAGCTCAGCTTTGTTCAACCCATACTGCAGACATGGACAGATTTGTTGCATTTCCCAGCCTCAGTCAGCTTACAAAAAACCCAGTCCTGCTTCTAATCTATTTCTTCAAAGCTCTATTCCTGCATTCCCAACAGCACCTCCAGTTACAGCCCTGTATACCCTGCTATCTACCGCATGTCAGTACCCACTGTTCCCACTCGCTGCACCTATCCTGCCTTTAATCCTGTAAAAAAGCCCTCTGAATCAACTGTTCCCTCCCCTGTTCCATCCTCCAGCTCTTCTCTGTCTCCAGCTGCTCCATTCGTTTGCAGACCTGCGTTTACTTGCAGTGCTCCAGTAGTTAAAACCAGAAAAAAGCGAAAATTCTTTCCAACCAATACCATCCTGCCAGTATCCAAAACCGGTGAGCCTGCCGTCTGAGAACCTGCCTACCGTGGTTCAGCCTGGTGCCTCGGCACCCGCACTTCAGCCTGAGGTCTGTACCCAGCCTGATGCCTGTACCCAGCCTGATGCCTGTACCCAGCCTGATGCCTGTACCCAGCCTGATGCCTCCACTCAGCCTGATGCCTCCACTCAGCCTGATGCCTCTACCCAGCATGATGTTTTCTACCCAGCCTGATGAACTTGATCCAGCCTGATGATCCTATTAGGCCAGTTGACTCAATGCCCGCTGTTGATCCAGACGATCCAGGACCTGATGACCCGGTGCCCGCTGTCGAGCCAGACGATCCAATGCCTGATTGACCCAGTGCCCGCTGTCATGCCTGGTGACCCAGATGCCCGCTGTCGAGCCAGACGATCCAATGCCTGGGACCCAGTGCCCGCTGTCATGCCTGGTGACCCGATGCCCGCTATTGAGCCAGACGATCCAGCGCCAGATGACCCGGTGCCTGCTGTCGAGCCAGACGATCCGGTACCTGATGATCCGGTGCCCGCTATCGTGCCAATTGACTCAGAGCCCGCTGTCGTGCCTGGTGACTCGGTGCCCATGCCTTGCCAGATGACGCGGCTTTGCCCCGCTGGCGAGCCAAATGACCTGATGCCTGGTGACCCAGTGCCCGCTGTCATACCTGGTGACCCGATGCCCCGCTATCGAGCCAGACAATCCGGTTAACCTGATGACCCGGTGCCCGCTGTCGTGCCAATTGACTCAGAGCCCACTGTCGTGCCTGGTGATTTGGTGCCCACTGCCTTGCCAGATGACGCGGTGCCCGCTGTCGAGCCAAATGACCTGATGCCTGGTGACCCCGATGCCCGCTCTCCAGCCAGACGATCCAATCTCTGACCCAGTGCCCGCGGTCATGCCAGTTGACTCAGAGCCCACTGCCTTGCCAGATGACGCGGTGCCCGCTGTCGAGCCAAATGACCTGATGCCTGGTGACCCGATGCCCGCTGTCCAGCCAGACGATCCAATGTCTGACCCAGTGTGCCAGCGGTCATGCCAGTTGACTCGGAGCCCACTGTCGTGCCTGGTGACTCGGTGCCTGTCGCTGGAGGTTTTTAAAAATATGGTAGAAAATGAGATTAAGAGTATTAATGTTAAAAATTCGTACTGTATTCCACCAGATATAAAATTGGGTATTGATGATCTTGAAAAGAGAAAGAATATAGTAATTAGAAGTGCTGATAAAGGGGGAAGTATTGTTGTTTTAAATAAGAATGACTATGAAAAAGAAATGAAAAGATTATTACAATCTGAAGATACATATAAAATTTTGTCAAAAAATCCCACTAAGAAACTTAAATTACTACTTAAGAGTATTATTAATAAAGGAAAAGAGTTGGGGGTATTAACTGAAAAAGAAGCAAAATATTTACTGATTAAACATCCGAGAATACCTACTATATACTATTTACCAAAAATACACAAAAATAAGGAGAACCCACCGGGGAGACCCATTGTGAGTGGGATAAATTCTTTATTTGCAAGAGTTGGTGAATATGTTGATACTTTTCTGAAAAATATTGTTATGACAAATAGGGCTTTTCTGAGAGATGGTGGACATCTTATTAACATCCTTAAAGAATTACATAATGTTGATAATTGCATATTGGTTACTATAGATGTAGAATCTTTATATACTAACATCGATCAAAATGATGGAATTAATGCGGTAAAATGGGCCCTTAAACATAAATCACTCCTGAAAAGATCGCAGAGGAAATTTGTTGTTGTTGAATTACTTGAATTTGCGATGAATAATAATTTCTTTTGGTATAACAACACTTTTTTTCAGCAATGCAAAGGTGTTGCTATGGGAGCTAAGTATGCTCCCAGTGTTGCAAATCTGGTAATGGATAAATGGGAGGAAGAAAGTATTTTCAATAAATGGCCAGAGATGGCGCTATACAAGAGGTATATTGATGACATTATAATGGTATGGAATGGATCCAGAGAAAAACTCGATTCTTTTATGGAATATATTAACATGAACCGCTATGGATTGAGATTCACTGTTATTAGTGATTTTGAGCGAATTAATTTTTTGGATCTGGTCCTATATAAAGATAATGGTCAAATTTGTACCAAAACTTACTTAAAGGAAGTGGACAAAAACAGCTATATACCTATTTCTAGTGGACATCATCCAAATTGGTTATATAGCACTCCAAAAAGTCAGTTTATTAGATTAAAAAGAAATTGTAGCGCTAACAAAGATTTTTTCGACGACCAATCTGAGGTGTTAATTGAAAGATTTATAGAGAAAGGGTATGATAAGACCTTTTTGATTAAAGAGAGAAATTCGATTGGTATTAAAGATAGGGAGACATTTCTTGGAAATAAAAAGGCTCATTTGGGATTTGAAAATAATGTACCCTTTATTACTAACTATAATATGCAATACAAAAATATTGAACGAATTTTTAAAAAATATTGGCCCATTTTGTTAAAAGATGATATACTAAATAAATTCTTATCTAAAACTCCTAAATTCATTTATAAGAAAAATAAGTCTCTTAGGATGAAACTGGCTCGCAATGTCATCGAACCCCCAAAAAAGTTCGATCTGTTTCCAAATTTAAATGGTTTTTTTTCCTTGTAGGAAGTGTAAAGTATGTAGGACTGTAAAAGTCGGTAGTAATAAAAAAAGAAAGTCATTCTGCTCTTCATTTTCCAAAAAAGAATATGATATTAAATCCCTGATTACATGTAGTTCTACACATGTGATTTTATGTTTTAGAATGTCCATGTCATTTGAGATATATTGGGAGAACTGGGAGATGTTTAAAAAAAAGAATAGGCGAACATATAAGAAACATAGTAAAAGGATTTGATAAACATAGTGTATCCAAACGTTTTAAATTGGTACATAATTGTGATCCGAGCTTACTTACCTTTTATGGGATTGAGATGGTAAAACCCCATTGGAGGGGCTCGGATTTGGTTAATGAGATTTCCAAAAAAGAGACGTTTTGGATTTATGAACTAAATTCCTTGCAACCATTCGGGTTAAATGTCGATATAGATTTGAACTGTTTTCTCACAAATTTTTAAATTTTAATTTTTATGCTTTTTAAGTATATTTTCATATAGGCAACTGTTTAAAGATGATATATGGAAGATTGTGTGCTTTTTATACAATTTCTGCATTATTTTTGTATTATCACTAGAGTTCCCCTTTATTTGTGCTTAATGTGTTACTGGCCCTTTAAGTTCCCTTTTTGAAACACAGTCTTAGAGGGTATTGGCCCGTTAATGTATTTATATTTATTTAATTTATTTACTATCATTGTTTTATTTAAATTTCTTTTTATTTTTGTTCCCTTGTTTTAAAGTTTTTTGCTTGTGATGGCAAATATATTGGATATATTGTATACTTTTTGTGGACTTCTGTCATCCTTGGGGCGGCTTGCTTTGCTTGATTCCCCATTGATGTCAGCTGTTCGTTTCCTGTGAGTGTATATTTAATGAGGGTGAGACGTCTCACATCTATCTGCTCCGTGAGGACGTCGATGACGAAACGCGTAGGGCGGAGCTTGATTGATGTGATGTCATTACGTTTTTGACTGCCAGCTATTGCACATGTGCTGAGTAGTCAGGCTCGTTTATGTGATTGCTGTTGATGCTGTTGATGCTGGTGTCGGCTGGGACACCTCTTGAGTAAGTGCAATGAGTATCTAATAAAGGAATTGGTTTTTATAATATTGCACCATGAAGTCTTTCTGTTTCTCTCGAGTGCTTGGCATTTCCCCCCATGGATACGTTTGAAGGTGGTCCTTTTTCTATTGGAGAAGTGGATTTTCGATTAACTACAAAGTTTTTCGTCCTGTTATTTCGATCGATGAGGATCGGTGTGTTGGAGAGCTTCCGTTTCTGAAGATATTTTTATGGATGATCTGCCATTATATTATCAAGGTTTTTTGGTGAAATTTTTTTATATTGAGACACTTTTTTTTTATATTGAGACACTCCTTTTGCACAAAAGTTTTTTTTGCACCTAAAAAGTTTTTTATATTTTTTTCTGTGGTATTGGTATATATATATTTTTCTGGACTTATGATTTGATGATTTCTTTACATATATTTATATATATTTACTAGCGCAAATTATTTATTAATTGGTACACTTTATATATGGTGGTTTTTTTGCAGCTGGTACACTATTAGTAAGTTATACAATTTTGACCATAGGCGCTATTATTAATTTTTCTTATGTCCGGCGGGCTCCGCCTGGGGGCCCAAGACCTGTCGCTCCGCCTGGGGGTCCGGCGCCCGCCGCTCCGCCTGGGGGCCCGAGACCTGTCGCTCCGCCTGGGGGTCTGGCGCCCGCCGCTCCGCCTGGGGGCCCGAGACCTGTCGCTCTGCCTGGGGGTCCGGTGCCCGCCACTCCGCCTGGGGGCCCGATGCCTGTCGCCCCGCCTGGGGGCCCGATGCCTGTCGCCCCGCCTGGGGGCCCGATGCCTGTCGCCCCGCCTGGGGGCCCGATGCCTGTCGCCCCGCCTGGGGGCCCGATGCCTGTCGCCCCGCCTGGGGGCCCGATGCCTGTCGCCCCGCCTGGGGGCCTGATGCCTGTCGCCCCGCCTGGTGGCCCGATGCCTGCTGCTCCGCCTGATGGCCCGATGCCTGCTGCTTCGCCTGGTGGCCCGGTGCCTGCTGCTCCGCCTGGTGGCCCGGTGCCTGCTGCTCCACCTGGTGATTCGATGTGCCTCTGCCCGGAGTCCAGCCCGATGTGCCTCTGCCCGGAGTCCAGCCCGATGTGCCTCTGCCCGGAGTCCAGCCCGATGTGCCTCTGCCCGGAGTCCAGCCCGATGTGCCGCTGCCCGGTGTCCTGCCCGATGTGCCGCTGCCCGGAGTCCAGCCCGATGTGCCGCTGCCCGGAGTCCAGCCCGATGTGCCGCTGCCCGGAGTCCAGCCCGATGTGCCGCTGCCCGGAGTCCAGCCCGATGTGCCGCTGCCCGGAGTCCAGCCCGATGTGCCGCTGCCCGGAGTCCTGCCCGATGTGCCGCTGCCCGGTGTGCCGCTGCCCGGAGTCCAGCCCGATGTGCCAGTCTTTGATTTCCTGCCAGTTACCAGACCCAGGCGGTGGAACATTTTGCCCAGCTAGGACGGTTTGGAGCGTCCTGAGGCCGCTCCTTGAGGGGGGGGGGGTACTGTCAGGAATGGACTTGCCAATAATGGTGGGACTCACCTGCCTTGTGGGCTGCAGTACCAGGGCTGGCCAGCGGGTGCTCCCAGCAATCAGAGACTCAACCCTGCAGCCAGCCAAACACCTGAAACTGCTTATGCAGGTGTATTTAAGTGATGGCCAGACCTGCAGGCTTTGCCTTGGTGTGTGTGTTTTTCCTGGGCCCTGTATCTTGTTCCTGCATCCCTGTTCCTGTCTCTGTCTGATTCGTTGCTGACCCTGCCTGATCCGGACCTCTGCTGACTTCTCCTGCTTTATCCCTGGCTTGTGACCCCGACCATTCTCTGCCTGACCCCCCTGTACCTACCTGCCCGATTGTTATTGACCCGGCCTGCCTGACGACGCTTGCATTGTATGTATTATCTGTGGGTGGTTTGGTTTGGTTCGTTTGCACTGTGTTATGTTTTAGTATTGCACTGCGTTTATGTTTGTATTGTTAGTCTTTAATAAATTACATTGTTTATAACTTATCTGAAGCCTGCGTTTCCCTGCGTCAGTCACAGACCTCTGGTCATACCCTGGAGCCCTGACAGACCATCAGTGACCATTAGTTACGACCATCAGTGACCATTAGTTACGACCATCGATGGCCATTAGTTACGACCATCAGTGACCATTAGTTATGAATATCGGTGGCCATTAGTTATGACCATCAGTGACCATTAGTTAAGATCATCGGTGACCATTAATTATGACGATTGGTGGCCATTAGTTATGACCATCAGTGAACATTAGTTGAGATCATCGGTGACCATTAGTTATGACCATCAGTGACCATTAGTTAAGACCATCGGTGGCCATTATTTATGACCATTGGTGGTCATTAGTTATGACCATCAGTGACCATTAGTTACTCTAAGTTGGGCTGGATAAAGCATGGCATATTTTAGGTTGAGGACGCTGTTTGACCTCCAAACATTTGGTATATAGAAGCTGTTGAGAAGTCAGCAAAGACCTCTATGGAAGAATTCTCAAAGGAAATATTACCCTCTTCCCCCTCCCTCGAAGTATTGTTACTCTGTCCTTGTAATACTGCAATTTTGCAATAAAAGTGCGTAGTGGCGATGGTGGTTTTGGAGAGATGTGGTGTGCGCATTCCACATTTCCTCTGCTTACTTAGGCAACCCCACAAAACGGAGGATGTTCTCCAAGTCATTTTGATGTTGTTGCAGTGCTTGGAGCTGGCAGGTTTGGTGTTCCAACACCAAACAGGCCACATTTTGACAGTCTTTCCACTAGCAAGCAACCCAGGAACTCTCCAGGGGCTTGCAGGCATCGCCTTTTATCTTGGTCGGCCCGTAGGGAGTGGTACCTGGCTAAAAATGGTGGAGAAAGACATTAACCCTTACAGCCTGGTTACCCCTAGCTCTCAGGGCAGCCATTGTAACATTTAGCCCCTGGCTGGCTCAGATAACATGAGGAAATGAGAAGAGTGAGGGGAAACAAGTGCTTACACAGGCAGACACTTTACCCCTTGTAGGCACCTACCTACAGCATTATGTAACTAGAGTAGGGTGGTTCAGCAATATTCACACCTCCCGTCCTGCTCTTGGGCAATCAGCTGCATGATGATTCAAATAAAATAATATTAAAGGATAAATTCACCTTTCCTAACATGTTTGTCCATATTCAGGGTGTAGCATGTAACATGGTATGAAAGGACTGTAAGTTTGTTGTTTTTCAAAAGAACAAGCTCTCTTGCAGATGAGGAGGTTGAAGGTTTGAGACAAACCATTTAATACTGATAAAGGTGTTTACAATGAACAGTTTTTTTAATGATTTATACAAACCTTTATCTCAAAAGTGAGAAAAAAAAATGTCACTGCTTATAAAGTGTTGGCTGGAGTCTTCAATTTGTTAGTGTATTTAAATCTGCTAATGCATCTAACACTCCCCCCCAGACTGACAATGCTGTTGTCCAAAGCTGTCCCCTGTGTTCCTTCATCCAGAGTGGGGGCGCTCTAATACAGAAGGCGTGTTACCGGCCAGATCACCAGATGAAAACAGAAGGGAAAAAGCCTAAGAAAAGAAAACAAATGCAGCCACCACATCTAATGATCGGTAAACAGAAATATACACTCACCAGACATTTTATTATTATTATTTTTTTTTTTGTATTTCAGGTACAGGTGTACCTCAGTTTACGAATTGAATGTGTTCTCCAGGACGTTTCGTATTGCGAAAAATTTGTAAACTGAAACGCGGTTTCCCATAGGAATGCATTGAAAACCAGTTAATCCGTTCCGGAGGTCAGAAAAAAGTCGCAGTCACTATAGGTCGGTGACGGTTTTTGTAATTACCGCCTTTTTTTTTCTTCACTATAACTCAGAGAATCAGCTGTCACTTTCACCCCAGCTAAAAGAGAAAATGTTTCCTTTTAGTTTATTTCCCAGAGTTAAAAGAAACAATGTTTCCTTTTAGTTTATTTCCCAGAGTTAAAAGAAACAATGTTTACTTTTAGTTTGTTTCCCTGAGTTAAAAGAAACAAAGTATCCTTTAGCTCTGGGGAAAGAGACAGCTAATTCTGTGAGCTATAGTGAAGAAAAAAAAAAAAAAGCCGGCAATTGCATTTAAAAATCGGCACCGACATACACTTGGTGTTGCAAAAAATTTGTAAAAAATGTGTATATTATTCTCAATGGATTTTCATTCGTAAATTGAAAATTACGTTAACCGAGGCGTTCGTAAACAGAGGTACACCTGTACTTCTATAGCGCTGTCAATTTATGCAGCATTTTATCTATATATACATATTGTACATTCACATCAGTCCCCCGCCCCTGAGGAGCGTACAATCTAAGGTCCTAATGCACATTCAAACATACACATACTAGGGCCAATTTAAACAGGAGCCATTTAACCTACCAGCATGTCTTTGGAGTGTGGAAGGAAACCGGAGTACCTGGAGGAAACCCAAGTAGGCACAGGAGAACATGCAAGGTACACCTTGCTAGTGCCAACAAAATCTCCCCCACACCGTGACACCACCACCACCAGCCTGAACCGTTGATACAAGACAGGATGGATCCACCACACCATGACACCACCAGCCTGAACCATTGATACAAGGCAGGATGGATCCTCCACACCATGACACCACCACCAGCCTGAACCATTGATACAAGGCAGGATGGATCCCCCACACCATGACACCACCACCACCACCAGCCTGAACCGTTGATATAAGGCAGGATAGATCCACCACACCATGACACCACCACCAGCCTGAACCGATGATACAAGGCAGGATGGATCCGCCACACCATGACACACCACCACCACCAGCCTGAACCATTGATACAAGGCAGGATGAATCCACCACACCAAGACACCACCACCACCACCAGCCTGAACCGTTGATATAAGGCAGGATAGATCCACCACACCATGACACCACCACCAGCCTGAACCGTTGATACAAGGCAGGTTGGATCCACCACACCATGACACCACCACCACCAGTCTGAACCGTTGATGCAAGGCAGGATGGATCCACCACACCATGACACCACCACCAGCCTGAACCATTGATACAAGGCAGGATGGATCCACCACACCATGACACCACACCAGCCTGAAACCATTGATGCAAGGCAGGATGGAGATTTTTTATTTATGTATTAATGTCATACATATCCATCCTCAACTTATATATAAAAGTACAAAGTAAAATAAATAGAATAAATAAATACAAAACTAAACAAAGAAACTGAAAAAGTCCCAACAACCCCCTGTGGGGAGAAATAATAAACAAAGAACATAAAAGTCCATAACCTGAAAGGAAAAAACGGAACTTATATACAATATGTGCAGTACAAGGCCTCTATGGCCAAGACCATATAATTAGGAGCCTTTTATGGCTCAGACATAAACGTAAACCATAAACAATTTCCATACTAAACCTGCCGCTTACGGCCTATATGGCCCAAACTATACACAAAAACACCTAACCATTTTATACACTATGGGGGAGGGCTAAGGAACCCGCAGATCTTCCACGTCTGACACCTACAACCTACCATACAAAAGGCTACCAAAAAAGACCGAAACGCAAAAGCTAGGGAGTGCAAGAGGCAAAAAACAGGGACAGTTTCCCATCACCCGAGATCAACAGACCGCAGCAACAGGCTTGATGTTCCTCCACGCCTCCATCCAAGCCCTACGCCGCAGCCTGTCTTTCTCAAGACCCCGAATTTTCCCAACCTCACCAAGAATGTCACTCACCACCACCTGAACAGGGAGGACCTTCTGCCG